ATCCAAAGTTCTAATTTTGATTTAAACATTGTTTTATAATTGCTTTTAGAAAGTGAGTTTTATAAAATGGCCGTCGTCTGAAGTTTCCCAGACTGAACTAGCCAACAACTACTCAATGCTTAGCGATAAAACGGTGATGCTAGGCAACGTTTGGCCAGATTGGAATACAGTAATGCCAGACTTCCTAGACGTAACAAACAACACTGTGAACTGGTGGATAAATGAGTTTGTCACTTTTCACAACCATGTAAGTAATAGTTTACGTAACTTTTAATAGTTAAGTTATTACACCAAAAAGGTAGCAGATATTTGTTGTGAACGAAACTTCACTGACCAACGATAAAAATTTTTGTTTTTTATTGTTACTTCACTGTAAATTATAACATTATTAAACAAAAATAGCTTTTTTGACAGTACGCTTATCTATAACCCTCAGATAAGCACTGCAAATACAATTATGTCATTTCAGTGTCTAATTGATGGAATTTGGATCGATATGAATGAACCATCAAATTTTGACACATTCGTTTATGACAAAGGAGCTGGTAAAAATACACAGTTTTTAAAAAAATTATTGTATAGTATCCGCAGCAAAAACTTTTAGTTCTTAAGTTTTTTAACTCAAAAATTTTTCTGAAAAGAACTAAGAAGATCTTTTACTGGCGCGGAGAGCGGGTTCGTTGATTATAGGAGAAACGTTACCAAACAAAACTAGCGAGGAATTCGCCAAACTACACTGTCCTGTCGGTGGGAAATATAATTTAGACGATCCTCCGTATCGAACTCAAGCTGCGTATCTTCGAGGATCTGTAAGCGGATCTTACAGTTAACAGCATTGAAACTAATCTTTTCACCAAGAAGTAAAAAATTACAACCAGTTAATTGAGAAGGCAGTTTAACAAATATCAAAGACTTTTGCTGGATTTAACAATTAGATACTTTTACAAGAATAGAAACTTTTATATTGTGCTGATTATTTTTTGGTTATTAGACGCTTAGAATATCTAGAAAATTATATGTATTTTAAGGAAAGGTTATTTTGTAGGAATACTTATCAGCAAAGACGTTGTGTATGATTGGTGTTACTGGATCTTCAAATTTTTACAACACTAAAAGTTTGTACGGTTGGGCTCAAATGAAGGCTACTGCTGAGGCACTTAAAGTAATAAATAATGGCAAGCGCGGAATTCTTGTATCAAGGTTTGAATCAAGTGGCAGAATTTATTTGTTTATGGCTAAAGCAAAAAACTACATTTTGTTCAGGTCAACATTTGTTTCTGCTGGGCGGTACGGAACACATTGGTTGGGCGATAACTTCTCAACATGGAAAGATATTAGGGCTTCTATAATTGGAATTATTGAATTTAACATGTTTGGTATGCCATTTGTGGGGGCCGATATTTGCGGCTTTAACTGGAATACCACCCAAGAACTTTGTCACCGTTGGCACCAGCTTGGAGCTTTTTATCCATTTTGCAGGTTTGTCGAATAATATCTTAAAAATAGCAATTTTACCTTACAAGAGAATATGAAAAGCTGTATTTTGCCAAATTTATAGAAATCATGCAAGCCGGGAAGGGGTACCACAAGATCCAGGTTTGTGGCCTGATGTGGCAACGGCTGCGCGAGAAGCTCTTATGCTGCGGTATAAATTACTTCCCTATCTTTACAGGTATCGTTTAAGCAACAATATTTGTTCAAGTTTATTAGTTTTGTTGACGATACTTTCAAGAGTAATGCACTAAACTGACACTGTTTATTGTGCACAACACAAAAGTGTTTTGAAATTTATCATTATTTACGACTTTTATGTAATTAGAAGGTAGTTCTTGGCTTTTTCAAATCTGAATTCATATAATAATACATTATAGATCTTTGTTGAACTGTGAGCAAAAGCAGTTTCACTTCCATTTGCACCTCTAAATCTACTTTTTATGATTATTTTACTCACAAAGTCAAGAGAAAAGTCAGGATCGTTTATTTTTCTGTACTTTTATTCGAACCTTTTCAGCTTGTTATACAACGCACATCTTTACGGTGGTATGGTTGCTCGACCTTTGTACTTCTCACATCCAAAAGACGAAACAGCAATGAAGACAGATGATCAGTTTATGTGGGGTGACTCTATTATGTTTACGCCGGTTCTTTATGAGGTAAATGATGACATTTTTGCTGTCACAAACGGTATAACAATGCCAAAATGTATGAAAATTTTAATTCACTTATGCTACCACAGAATACAACAGACCGAGAAGCATATTTTCCGCCAGGTTACTGGTACAGCATTCGTTCAAATGATTACGGGAAAATAGCGAGCGATTCAGAGAGCGGACAAAAGAAAAGTGTTCACGCACCATTGGACTGGAACACACCAGCATTCTTATTAGGTTTTCATAGGCAGTTTCATTTTTACTGATAAACAAATTAGAAACTATTATTTACATTTTTTAGGAGGTAAAATTGTTCCAACTCAAGTTCCAGCAACAACAACGAAAAAAAGCAGAAAAAATCCATTTGGATTGATCATTGCTCTCAGTAGGTTATCATTCTGGAAAAAAACTAATTTCTTATTTGCAACAGCTAAAAGTATATTTAATTTTGTCGCACATATACCATTATTCCCTAACTCTGGTTTTCTGTCAGAATGAAAAGTGGAAAGTCGTTTTTGTTTTATAAAAATAATTCTTTTTTCAAAGTTTATTATTCAAGACTAATAAAGACAGCATCTGGAAGATAGGCGCAATTAAGCCCTGCAAGTCAAACGTAATCAAGTATTTCAGAACCTTCGGATACTGCGACTGGTGAACTATATTGGGATGACGGAGAAAGTAACGATGGTTTCTATTATCATTTTGACTTCAAGTTCCAGATCACACCGACAAACGCAACTTTAACAATATTACAGAAGAAAGTTGGAAATGTAATACATTGTTTTTTTTACGTGTAAAATTTAGACTCCGTAAAGCATCGGTCGTTTCAGACGTTTCTAAATCTCTCAAAGAATGCGACCAATTAGATTGAAGTAGAAATATGTGATATTTTACATGAAAAAATAATTCTTGAGTAGTTTTGGAAAGCCTATGAGGAACTAGAACAGTGCTAAGAAAGAGGAAAGTAAAAGAAGGCTTTAAGGATTATGACAGGATCAGAGAGGATGGGGACTTTATAACGAATTTAGAAAAACATGCATTAGACGACGATGGTCAAAATTTGAAAGACTTTTGAATTAGAGAGCAGTTTGAACAGTCTTTGGGGAAGCTGAAAATTACAATATTGCAATTTCAAGGTGTTCTTATTTTTTGGTTTTATACTTTGTTGGTCGTGCTGAGCGAAATTTGGATGATTTTGGATAAAAAACTTTCTTGAAGCTTCTAAATTTAATTGGCCGAAAATATGTGCAGATGAACAAAGAGTTCTGAAAAGAGGTACACTTGAAAAGGAGGAAAAAAATTGCTCAATAGGAAGGGTCTAACGAGTCAGAAGAGAGTGGGGTTAAAAAGTAACGTGAAACACGAGTTTGAGGCTATTCCTTCGGAAAAAAACTACAACGGTTAAGTAGAAGACAAGTATCTAAATACCTGAACACAAATCGCAGCTTTTTTCTTAAACCGGAAAAGCTACGCTCATTGTCATCTAGGGTAATCTATCGATGCCAGCTTTGGATTTCATCGATATTATGGGATACGATTACATTATTAACCAGTCATCACTTACTTTGGGCAGTGGAGAACACATTGAAGCAAACGTCACTTCAGACAGGGAGAAAAACTTGCTTTTGATAAGCAGAAGTGGTTTTTTGTCAATGCAGTTGGAATCTTCTTCACTGACGTGGCAGCATCAAATTTCTCCTTCAACAAGTACGTCTGTTTTACCCAACTCTGCAGTGGTTCAAATTTTAACTCTATCTCTGTTCTTTTCAGTGCCATCAACTATAACGACAGCGTCACCAACTATAACGACAGCGTCACCAACTATAACGACAGCGCCACCAACTATAACGACAGCGCCAACCAAGGGTGTTTTGGAAATAAGAGTTTCATGTCTCTCTGTTCTGTTGACTTTACTTGGTTTGGTTTTGAATAATTATTAGGTAACTTTACCTGGATCAGTGGCGAAAAGCACGAGCATTGCACTGTAAAGAAGTCGTTTTTGTAGTTTTTTGCTTTGAAACCGCGCTGGTAATTTATACTGTCGACTGTTATTTTTCAATAAGCTGCTCAACTTTTCTGAACGAAACGATGAAATAAATTGAGCACTTATTTAATGAAAAAATTATTTCGTTGGAACGTACAGTTTCGACTAGGCGTATACTTCAGATACAAAGCCTATAAGTCTCCTTTTCAGCGTACCTTTGTGGCTTAAATGTTCGCGATGCATTATCTACAAGTTGCCTCAATAAAGAATTGTGCTATTTTTTGTTGTTTCTGAAAATTAAAAAAATTGACGCTCAATTAATTTAGATTTCCATTTGAAGAGTTATATAATTACCTCTTTGGCCCATTTTTCTTTGACTATCGCTGTTGCTTGACGTCAGTTTGGTTATCTAGTAACTAAATTTGGATTTAAAAAAAACTAAAAGTTGCGTACTTCTATTAATTTGCCAGATTCGCTGCGAGCTGTTTGCTGAACAAAATTTTTCTGTTGTTAGTACGTTTTTTTGAGTTTTCAGTTTTCCCGAGTACTGAGTAAAATGTCGTTTATGAACTTGCTTATTGCTGTAGAGCACTGATTAGGCATGTTTTATATAGAATAACTTAAAAAAGTGACTCTACTTCTTAGAAGAACTTTAGAACGTTTGAGAACTGCCGAACAACAAGAGCAGATATGAAATACAGTTCCTTTCAACTGGTGCATATATCAGAAATTTTTACCACATAGTTGTCATTTATATTTACTGCTGATTAAACTAAACCTCAAGCTGCTTCATACTTCGGTGCACCTGTATCTTTATGGTAAATAATTTGAGAACAGGTCAGTTTAAACGCGTCTCAGTTAATGACGTGAACAAGAATTTTTGTTGTACTTTTTCAGGAAGAAATTATCTTGTAAAATTTGTTTCCAGGTTAACATTTGGCTTATGATTCAAAGCTGATATAGTGCAACACATTATGCCACATTATGCTGGGGATAATTTCTTTACACATCAGCAGCAGCATTTGTTGGTGCTAATGTTCATATTCAAAATGTATTTCAAATCTTTGACAATTTAGAAAGCTTTTTAAATAAGTCGAAGCATATGCTTTTCGTTTCATATGCTTTCCTCGTTTATTCATAAGATTAATCAT